TGGGGAATTCTGGGAGTTGAAGTCCACCCATCTTAAAGTTCCCAAGGTTGAAAAACACTGGGTTAGTGGCTCTGTTGGCTTCACGATCTTACTGGCCAAGAGCTTCACACTTCCCTTTCGAAGGATCACACGGAGGCCTTCGCAGGAAAAGCTGCAATGAATATTTGGGGGCCCTTAACGGAACGATATGAAACACATTCATCTTAATCAACATTCATGGCATAGGGGGCTGGTTAGATATTTAAAAATGCTCTTATTCCCATGTGGTTCCCAAATGTTGGAAGTCGGTTTGATAGGCTTGGTAACTCAATTAACTAATGATAATAATAATGATGGGGAAAACTAGCACATTTAAGGGGCGTTAGGGGTATTTGCAGAGAGTCAAATTCTGCAAGATGGCAGCACAACATTGGGATTGAAGCCCCGCCCCCTTTGTAAGGTGTATGAAAAGGGGTGGGGCTTTGATTTTAACACCGCGCCTGCCATCTTGAGGTTTTAACCTCCACGCGGACACTCCGGTTGCCAAGCTCTGAATATTATCAAGACGGGAAACTCAAGGTTGGACTCACACAACTTGTTCAACCTTGTTACCAAAGTAACCCACGTTCTAGATTCACGCAAGAGATGGAACTCACAAGAGCCAGATATCCACAGTACAACACACTAAGCTACAAGAAAACCTAATCGAGGTTTAAAGCACCGCGTTGGGCTGTTTTGCATGAAGCTGGCCAAAAATTGTCTATGGAAATCTGGATTTTAATGTTGGGGCCTCAAGCTACAATTTTTCATTTTTTAAAATAGGAGTTCTACTTATAAATTTGGCGAATGCTTTTGAGCCGAGAGTGTAAATTAGGGGAATGCAGGAATGCGAACTGCTCCCTTGGGTTTACTTTTTCCCACTGATCTAGCATGGGAATTAGATCTTCGTGGTGTCCTCCAAGCCTTCTTTTTCTTCGGGTTAATAACAATGCAATGCAGTGCTACTTCTCTGTCTCTGAAATTGATTTGCAGCTCTGAAACATGAACTAGAATTACATGATTTAGAGCAGATATGGGACTCTCACTCCCTTTCCCCTTCATCTGTGCACTGGAAAGCAAACCCACCATAGACTGCTCTGCAGTCATGGGGAATTCACATATGTCCATATATTCGGGTGACCGAAACTCAGCTGCAAACATCCAGGTGACCTCTAGAGGGCAGCAAACTCAGTGGTTTCTGCTTCTCTCTGCCACCATCTAGTGGCTGCCTGAAGTTTTGCAGCCTGGATCTCATCAACCGCATATACATGTCCATACGTTGGACCACATATGTAACATCTGCATGTGATGGGAAGAAGAGCAGACCTCAATCTCCAGTTTTCCTGTGCATCCATGAAATGAATCTCTGTGTCGGGTGTGTTTATTGTCCTTTATGTCTGTCTTGGATTTATCCATCAGCCCCCCTAGACTTAAGCAGCTACAGAAGGGTTCGGCATAGGGCCAAGACTGCATTTCCCATCCAAAGATGTTGATCGTTCCTAGATTGGAAGGTCAACCTGTGGACAGATCTGTCCGTATTTTTAACTGCTCACAGGCTATGTTACTTCCTCTAATAAATCATCACAGCTGGTGGGTGTCAACAGGATTCTAGCAAAATAGAACAACAATTAAATTAGAAAGACCCATCAGTGGGCCTGGGTAAATCCTAATATTGGTGGAAGAACACAAATATGGGGTTTGGAAGAGGAAAACAGTGTGTGGTTGGATGGCTGCAGTGCTGGAAATATCACACACCAGTCTTGTATTCCAAAGTTCTCTTGTGTAAATACCTAGTAATCGATTACAAAGGAAGGGAGGAGTCAGATCTGAAGAGCCTCCAAGGGGAGAAGACAGGCTGGGTCCCTCCTCATTTTTCAGGATCCACACGATGCTTGTGGCAACCAAGGCTGGCTTTGGCCAATGCAGTGGGTAAGGTATGGGTGACCCAGTGGCATGAGCAAGAAAAAAAAAAGAATTAGAAACTCAAGAGAATTTGCTTTAATTGGGACCTGCATCATGTAAAGCAAGCAACCTTTTCCCCTTACATTTTTGGTAAGAACCCTAAGTTCCACTTAGCAGAAGTTCGTTGGGGAACTGAGAAGAACAATGAGAGAGAAGGAAGGACAGGGAGAGAAAGAAAGAATGAAGGTTGTGTAGCTTCAAGAGCTGGAGAATAGACCACTTTTGTATGACAGAGAACAGTGGACAGTCTCATCTCTGAAGATCTGGAGGCTGGGCGGAGGGCCGCTCCCTTGCTAGCTCTTCTGACCCTCCCATCACTTTCTCCGGCCAACCTGTGCCATCAGTTGAGCGTTACTGGCAGCTTTTGCCCGTAGGTTCTTGGCCTTGGCGATGTTAAAGAGGATGTTCATGAGGTTGGTTGGGACATCCAAGGAAAGAGTGAACTTGGCGCGTCGGTCGTTCTTGGCTTGGCTGTGGGATGTCTTCCCTTTCGCCTGGGCGAGGGATACGTAGCGGGTGACGGCCGGGAATGTCCTTTTCTCCTTCTCTGCCTTGATGTCCTCAAAGGAGGCGGTGTCTTCACCCTCCAGAGGGATCACGAAGGTCCTCTTCTCCAGGGCAGAGTTCTCACCAAGGAGGTCCTGCTTAGCCTGGGAGAGGGCAGAGCTGAGGCAGCTGAAGAGGGACTCAGCATTGTACATCTTGAAGGACAGGCCCATCTTAGCTGTGGACAGAACCAGCAGAAGGAGCAGAAGTCTCGAGGGGGTCATGGTATCGCCTGTGCCACCAGAGAAGAAGAGAAGGTTTATGAGCATGGGGCATGGGGAGGACCCTAGGCAAATGACTTAGAGGAGCTGAGTCCACGTATGGGCTGGTTTGGCACAGTAAGCTAGGCTAGGCTAAAATCAGATTTGGACCACATGGAGGAACCAGATAATCATCTTAAGATGGGCTATGATTTATTTGTTAGGGCTGCGCAGCGCTTGGAGGGTGCTACAGATGTAATATCGGCCCCCAACCTCTTACAGAAGCTGGGTCTTTCCCAGGATCACCCAAGTTGCGACGTGATCCTGGAAAAAGCTCTAGCAGCTTTAAGGTGTTGCAGGCAAGGGCTTCAACCCCCCTCCCTTGCCCCCCAGTGCGCTTTTTGGGACCAAATCCCAAGCATTTACACAGCCCTCTTGTTTCCTTGAGCATTGCATGTTCCAGGAACGCAGCAATGATGTTTTTCGAACCAGGTTTAGACATGTTGTGAGAATCCAGCCAGGAACTAGAGATTGCTTTTCCCCAAACAGATCCTTCCAAGGGGGCTGAGGTCTGCAAATGCCTGCATTCCCCAGAATGATGGGTCTTCTTGTTTATTTTCTAAGGCTTCTGGACTGCTGGATCCCCAAAGGGTCGGAAGCAGCTTACAGAATGCCTCAAGAATTAAAATCGTCCTGGAAAAGATTCGGCACTACCCACCATGGAGGAACGGTTGATGAAGACGATGGAATTTGCTGAGGTGGCCAAACGGACTTCTTTGATCAGAGAAAAGACCATATCTAAGTTTATGGCTGACTGGAAACCCCTTATGGACTTTTTGTGTGAAACGGAAAAAAATGAACTTATGATTTATGGTTTTGATGATTAGACAGGATAGGCTATAGAAACAATTGAGTTATTGTTATATATATGTATATTGTTATATATCTGTAACCACAGAGCAAGAGGTAAATTTGTAATTATACTTATAACTGCTGTAAAGAAGATCAGAAGCTATTTCTTTGTGCTTCCTTCCTTTCTTTGATTTTGCACCCTTAGCTTTTTCTTTTATCTTTTAATCTTTTTCTTACTCTATATTAGTTTCTGTTAGTTTTCATCTTCTTAAAATTTTTAATAAAATTAT